TTAGGGTTTAGGGGTTAGGGATTTAAGATTTTTTCGCAAGGCCAGCAAAGGGCTTCAAGTCACAGGAGTGGTTGTAGCTTTTGCAGGTTTGTCGTGCAGTGTCCATGACGGTTCTAAAGTTGATTCTTTGAGATTTTCAATATGTCTGTGCAGATTGGGTGAGCTTGTTCCATCGTTCGCTCGCGTTTGGGCTTAGGTGTGAGCGACAACAGGGTCAGGGTTTGGGGCGTATATATCCAAGCTGATTACTAAAAAGTATTCAGTATTCCTTCGTCTTCCTGAATGTAATTATTACGGCGAGGTATACCCGAAAACCCTAATCTAATTATGAAGGCCCCTACCTGCAGCCTCCACGGTACTTCTTCTCTCTAGCCACATCTATCTGTAGGATCCGAAAAGGCAACCCTAAACCCAAAAGGAACAACAACGGAGACTCCTAGCTAAACTATACATGATCTGCATGTGGTTATGGGGAACTTCGGGTTTCAGGGCTTCAGGTTCCTAAACCCCAAACCCCAAGCGCTAAACCCTGTAAACCCTAAACCAAGTCCGTTGCAGCCGGGTAACCCATGGCATGCCTATCCTGCGCCAAGCCTCCAGATCCTTTCGCACAATACTTCTAGTGATTTTAGTCTTTACTTCAGGCTAAGTGCCGCCAATCCCAGATACCGGTCTCCAAATCGGAGGTGAGCCAGGTATGAGCTACTGCACAACGAAGGATAAAAGGGCTCTCTGAACAAAGGAGGTGAGATATTTGCTAGCGGTCATATTCTGGCACGCTTTCTGGGCTTCTCAACGATGTTGACGGTAGCCCTCATCGATTATGGGCATACCCTTCGTTTGAAATTAATTGAGTCCTAGACGGCAGGACTCCGGGGAGCAGCTCTTCGTTTCTACATGGCGGTTTATTGGAGACTGGGATGGCCCCGAAGTTACTGTTCTTGTAGGGTGTAGGGTTCAGGCTTAGGTCAGGGTTCAGAGTTTCTCTATAGTCTCCATTGTAGTTCCTTTTTTGGACTTACCCTTTAGGACCCTAAATATAGAACTGGTTAAACGAATTAAAAGAGAACTACAATTGAGACTATAGTTAGGCTTTATGATCAGAGTGTAGGCTGAAAGCAGGGATTTGCAGGGCACCAGGAGCCTGGTGCCCACACTCAAGAACCCATCAAAGGTGGAAAAATACGACCAAGCTCAGAGCCAGAAAGTTTTAGGGTTTAGGGCTTATGTAGGGCTTTGGGGTTTAGGGCTTTTCTAAAACCGCAAGGCTCCATGCACTTCGAAAGAGATTGCCTTTCAAGGTACGACAGCCCCAGCAGGAGGGACCCCTTCAGCGAGCGACGCATGGGCCGAGGACCTCGTGGCGATCGAGGTGATAGGCGCTACGAGAGGGTTTAGGGTTTCGGGTTTTGTTTAGGGCTTAGGGTTTAAGGTTCCGGGTTTAGGGTTTAGGGTGTCGGGTTTAGTTTAGGGTTTAAGGTTTAGGGTTTAGGGTTTAGGGGCTCGCAAGATTTTGGAGCTTACTCTTCGGGGATGCGTTGAGGAGGTCATCTGAAGGCTGAAGAGAACCCAAGCCTAATATAGAAGCCTAAATAATTACCAATCGAAGTTTTTGGGCCTCCCAAACCCTATTCTAACTAACTTTTAAGGCCCTTACATTCATGAGCTTGCCTTTGGTATAGGGTCAGGGTTTTGGATTTTAGAGGGGTTGCAGGCTTTTAGTTTTAAGTTTTCCCGGCTTTGGGTTTGCCCTTTGCAGGCTTTGGGGGATTTAGGATTCAAGCTCGAGGGCGGCGAGGGTTCACAGACCCAAGGCTCTGTAAGTACCGGATACTTGTACAGTTCCATGCTGAGTTTAGATGTGTGTCTTGTTTGTTTCATATCGCTTTTCCAAGGTTGCAAGTTCGCCAATCTTGCAAGGGTGATCCTCAAGATGCGACCCTGCTGTTGTTCATAGAGGTTTATTTGCGTGCTTCAGTGCTTAGGGCTTTGAAGCGCGAGCTTGCATCTTTCTGTTCCTGCTTGAAGCGTCACCGATCATATTTGTGTAAACGCATACACCTAAGCCAGATCCCCCGAACCTGTGTAAACTTGTGTAAACCCCTGAGTCCATACATCCTAAACTTTACCTAAACCCTATTTATAAACCCCTGTGTAAACCCCCCCAAAACCGTCCATCTTCCAAGCTGATAGCGTCCCACTGGGATGCAAATGGAAGTGGAAGAGTAGGGTTAAGGGTTATGGATGTTTAGTGAAAGTTTCGTGTCTTGGATGTTGTTGGAGATGCTGACGGAGCCAAGAAATTCGCCCCTCTGAACCGAGTGACAGCTTTCAAACGAACGGTTGGTTTAGGACAATTCCAACACCTGCTGGTAATCAAGGTATCATCGAAGAAGCATCCCTGTCAGTGTGTTCGATGCTCTTGCCTTTGGGTGCACAAGAGCAGTGTTGAGGAGTGCCTCATAGCGCTTTCACTTCCCACGCTATCGAAATTCCGCAGGAGTACTGTCATCATCTGCATGCAGGATCTTCATAGTACGTCATGCTCCCAACCCGTATGGGCAGTTCTCTACACTAGGTCCCTTGTAAGGGTCCTTTTCATAAGGGTGCGTACCATATTGGGGACCCCTAACTTTCGAGAACTGCCCGTATGCTGCCACGGGTCTGCCGATGCCAAAGAGAGTCAGCCCGCCCCGGAGCCTACTATAGGGGCCTTAATAATTAGAATAGGCTTTGGGGGCCATATGATACTATAATTATGATAGAATAGGGTTTGGGTGGGTATATGAGACAAAAATTATAATAAGGAACCCCCAAAACCCTATTCTAATTATTAAGGCCCCTACATTACACCTTGCACCCATGGTGTCCGAAGCTTTGCATCCTGCAGTCCCTGAGCCCGACACTCCCGGACTCCTCTCGACGTCGGCGACTAGGGGTTTATAGGGCTTATAGGGCTTATGGGGTTTATAGGGTTTAGGGTTTATAGGGTTTAGGGGTTATAGGGTTTATAGGGTTTATAGGGCTTATAGGGTTTATAGGGTTTAGGGTTTAGGGCCTGTTAACACGACTGAGGCTACACTCAAAACCCAGGCTTCATACCCTAGGCCCTAAACCTAATGCCCCTAAAGCCTCACACACGCCGGGTTTGCGGAAGGCCGCAGCGGCCGATCACGGACAGGCGAGAGCGGATGTCCAAAGTCGGGTGCTCGGCGTGAGATAGACGTTTTGCGACTATAGGGGGTTTGGGATTAGGGATTACTTAGGGTTTAGCGAATTGAATAGGGTTTAGGGTTTAGGAAGGCACCGAGAACGCGCAGTAAAATGATCAGGGGATGCAGTATAAATAGGGTCATAGGTGGGCTGACTACCCTAAGCCCTAAACCCTAAAGTTGAAATTCTTGCAGCCCTAACCAAGGCGCTTCGAGCCATACTGACAATGCCATGAAATTTTAAGCAGGGCATTGGCATAGTAGGTTGGGCTTGCACTTCCAGGGTGTTTAAGGTTCAGGAGTTGCGGCTTGTGTTTTGAGGTGTATGGTTTTGCCTTAAAGCCTTTGCCCTACCTCGAGAGCCCTAAACCCTAAACCTCGAGTATTCCACAATCGGACCCGGCTCCTGCCTGTCAAGCTGCCTCCAGTGGCCAATGTCTCTTGCAGGCCTCACTGCCATGTAAGGACGAAGCTAGGACCCTTATAGTAGAAGTTCAAAAGTTGGAAACCTAACAGCCTCAATCCTTAAGAATGTAATGTATAGGGAATCGCAGCACTAAAAATCCTTAATCCGGTTTCCAACTTTTTGGGGTTTACTATAGCATAATCCATCTTTAGGGAGGAGGTCGGTTAATCATTGATGTTCTCGAACGTTCTTGAAGTGAACAAGTGAGCCTGCCACGGCCGCATGCATTTTGCATGCTCAAGATTTTAGGGTGAGGTAGGGTCGAGCCATGGGCCGAGGAGCGTTTTTTGCTTTCCTTGGCTGGCAGGCCTCATCTTTCCTTGGAGGCTACCTGAGTGGTAACATCTTCGCTGCTCGGCAGTGGCGGATTGAGGCCCTCCAGGTGTCACTTCAAGAGGTGGCTCGACTGGCTGTGGACGAGGCCCGAGATAGTCTGTGCCTTTGTGTTCATTCCGGGAGCCCACCAAAGAGAAGGAGCCACGTCGGTCTCAAGCTCCTGATTTGTCTTGGGGCTGGACCCTTCTGCTTGTGATCAGTGCCTTGGCTAATCTCTTGTTCTGGAGCGCAGGGGTATCCTGGCAGTTCTGCTGCGGCAGACGTCGGGCTACACCCGCTGTCGATTGGGACGAGTCTGAAGATAGCTCGCCTGACGAACGAAGGGCCCTTGCCCATAGGCAGTTGGCTCTGATCCGAAGTCGACGTCATGGCACTGGTCAATAGAAGGGTGTTCTTGCAGTACGACGTACCTGGTCAGGTGTTGTGGCATGAAAGGTTGCTTCTGGCCCACTGTCGTGGCGAAGAGTACGCGATCGTCACGCCTGATCAGGATGTATATATTGAAGAGATCAGCCTTTCAAACAGTGACTTGAGAGCGATTCGGATTGGAGCTCCAGGAGGCGGGCGGCCGATCGGGGTCCGGGCCGGGCAGATCCACGCCCTTCCGGCCTTTACGCCGGCGCAGCTGGCAGGCTTTCAGGCAGAGGCCGCTCGCCAGATCGCCCAGGAGTTGGGTGCTGGTGGTGTTGGAGCCCTGTTGGGAGGAGGTGCGGCTGCAGCCGTCGCTGGGGCTGGTGCCGCTGCTGGCGGGGCCGCGGTCGCAGCAGCCGGAGTCGCGGGGCCGATCGTGGCGGGCGGTGGTGGCGGAGCTGCACCGGCTGCAGTGGCTGCTGCCGGACTCGTCTTCGACCCCGACACCCTGTACTGGCTGGCCGCTGAGTCTGTCGCCGGCTTCTCGTTTGGGGATCCTGTTGCTAATGTGCTAGCAGCGGCGGCCGAAGGTGCCAAGATCGTTCATCAGCTCCCTGGAGGCGTCTCTATTTTCCTTGAGTGCTGCTTGGGTCGCAATCGGGAGGCCTTTCTTCGGAGACCGGGCGGATGGGATCAGCGAACCTGTTCTTTGCAGATTAACAGCCTGAATCAACCCGAGCAAAGCCTCAAAGACGCAGCTGCACGGTCGGTCGAGTCAACAGTTGGGTGGGTCCTCACGGGGCCTCGTACTACCAAGTGGTGCCTGGGTTACTTGGTGACCGAGGGGCTGGGCTTGGAAGGGCACCATGAAAGGCTCAGGACCCTTTGCCGTGTTGATGCTTCATCTTGGGGCATCCAGGAGCATTTTCAGCTATCTATGGTTGCCAAGCATGCTTTGCTGACCGACCAGTTGAACGGGCCGAACCTGCTGTGCTTGGAGGTGATCTTCCGGCGGATCCAGACCATTGAGTTCGCCTATGGGGAGAAGGCCCGAGAGTCTGAAGCGAAGGCCGTGGGAGGACGACTTTCGCTGGAAGAACAACAGGTTTTCGGAGGCCTTACCCGGCAGGCTGGAACCTTGATGGTGTGCCCGGCCTTGTTGGAGTATGTGAAAGGTGAAACCGAAAGAGAGGCCAGTTTGTCCAAGAATCTTCGCAAAGCGCGCGAGGAGCGCGATCTTGCTCGGAAGAAGAAGGGCGCTGGCCGCGATGACACGTGAAGATGAATCGGGCGGCGAGGTGGGGCCCTTCGTCGCCCACAGCATCGGCCCCATGCACGCATCTTCCCGGGTGGCTCGTGATCTTCTTCCTCTACCTCTCCTTGGGGGACAGGACCTTCCGAAGACAAACTTGTCTCGTGGCTGTCGAGAGCGGTGGCTTCGCAGGGAAAGGCGAGTGGATGATTGCAATGCGGCTATCCGGGCCCTTAATTACTTGAACAGTCCTGGTTCGAAGAACGACGCTGGGCCAATTCATTCTTTGCAAACCTTTCGTGCCTCGGCTGCACAGGCTGAGGCCCTGCTGCGGATACAGACCGCAGTTGATCATCTGGGCCCGCCCCCAGATGACGTGACAGTGCCAGAAGCGCTACGGCAGCTTCGGTGTGAGGGCTATGTCGATGATCTCCAGGCGACGGGTGCCCTTGCCTCCTTTAATTCCGAAGGGGTCTCCTTGCCTGAGGAAGGTTGGAAGCCAATTTCATTAGCTTCACTCGGGGGCCGCGACGGGGGAGTATCTGTTGGAGACTACGTACAGCAACAAGTGCTGCCACCAGAGTTAGCTTCTGCTAGGGTGGAGGCATGTGGCGTCAAGTGCACGTACACTGACCCCAAACTCCGTGATCCCAAGGTTTACGGTGCTTTTCTTGGCAGGCTTGCTCGGTCGAACCTCGTGGATTTCAGTACGCAGGCAGGGGCCGAACATATCTCACTGTTCTTTGTCCGCAAAAAGAACGGAAAGCTCCGCGTGATTATTGACGCCCGGCGGAGTAACCAGCACTTTCGGGACCCCGATCATGTACAGCTATGTACAGGGGACACGCTCTCTCGGTTCGAGATTGACGGCGAAGAGGACTTGACGATCTGTCAAGCTGATCTCAAGGACGCTTTTTACCACCTATCGTTGCCCGAGAGTCTTCGCAAATACTTTGTGCTCCCGCCGATTGACGGGCGCTACCTGAAAGGAGTATGTCTACCCGATGGCACACCTGTTGGTTCCGGCCTCAAAGTTTTTCCTCGGCTCGCGGTCGTGCCGATGGGCTGGTCGTGGGCGCTGTTCATTTGCCAAAACTTGCATGAGCAGATCGTTGAGGCTTCTGGGCTTTCAGAGGGTCAACGGCTTCGAGATGGGCGTCCGTGTCCCAGCGCTGCGGTGGCACACACTCAATATGTAGACAACCTTGTCGTGCTGGGTCAGGATCGCAGTGCAGTGGTGAGCGCCTTTCAGCACGCCGTCGAGCATTTGAAGGCCGCAGGGTTACAAGTCCACGAGGAGGAAATCTGTGATGGAGGTGCTTGTGTTTTAGGATGGGAGTTCGAGGCCTCCGGCATCTTCAGGCCGAGTGCCCGGAGAGTCTGGAGAGCTCGGCTAGCCATCAGAGCATTGCTCGCGAGGCGGCGTGCTTCGGGAAAGCAGATCGAGCGGCTGGTCGGGCTCTGCAGTTTCATATGTCTTGCTCGTAGGGAGAGTTTATCTGTCTTTGGCGATGTTTACCAGTTCATTGCGAGATATCGTGATTGTGGCAGGGAGATTCGCATGCCGCCTGGAGTCCGCAGAGAGCTTCACATGTGGGATGCTATCTCTCCCCTCATCTTCAAAGACTTGCGCTCTCCCTGGAGCGAGCAAGTCACTGCAGTAGATGCCAGCTTCTGGGGGCTTGGGGCTACGTCATGTCATATGCCTTTGAGTGAGGTTCATCGCCTCGGGCGCTACAGCGAGAGATGGCGATTCGCTGCGCATGAGGCCGAACAGGAGCTCCCACATCGTGGAGCCCGGGACTGCGCCTTTCAGCAGTTGCGAGGTGATGGCCTTGACAGTGACAAACCCACCGCAGATTTTGAGGCGGTCCCCTTTTCGGCCGTAAATCGTGAGTGGTCCACTATATTGGTTGTCACAGGTGGCGCCGCACTCCTACGCTTCCGGTCGGAGAGGCCCGGGCCTCATTGTTCGCTCTAAAGCACGCTGCTCGCACTTTGTCTGGTTTTGGGAAGCGACATCTTGTCCTCACTGACTCCATGACCGGTGCCCTCGCCATCTCTCGAGGCAGATCCAGCACTTTTCAACTTAGGAGGGTTTGCTCCCAAGTGGCGGCGCTCAGTTTCGCCTCTGGGATACAGCTGTGTCTGCGCTGGATCCCCAGCGAATGGAACCCGGCTGACAACCCAAGCCGGGGCGTTTGGCAGCCTAGTGTGCCGAGCCGTGCTGCAAAAGATGTTTTACCGGGAGACCTTGTGTGTCCCAGCAAGCACCGTGGCGAGGACTCCGCAGTCAAGCAAGAAACGCATGGTGAGCCAGATGGCCCCACCGGCTCTCAACGTTCAAAGCTGTTTGCCAGCTCAAGAAGTGGAGCAGCGGCAGGCCAAGAAGGCTCGACGACTCGCCAGCCTTGCAGCACAGCCAGCTCCTGCACTGAGCCTAACGCGCCTCGAGCTGGCATCTGTGTCAACTGCCTGTCGAGCTCGCTATCAGCGCCTGTGGGAGGGGGTTGCTCCGCTTCTTTGTTCCAGCCCAGGGGTACTCAAAGACATGAGCACCATCGAGACGATTCTGTGTCAGCAGTTGGAGGAGCTGTTCCTGGACGGCTGCAACCTGGCCAGTGGGCAATACCTGATTGCAGCTGTGATCTTCTTCAACCTCTCGCTGAAGTCGCATCCCATGCCTCGGGTGAAGCAATCTCTGCAGGGCTGGCGGAAGCTAGCTCCGCCCCAGGCCCGCCTTCCGATCCCCTACGAGGCGGTGGCGCTCATGGCTCAGATGGCGTTTGCCAAAGGGCTGATTTCAATCGGCCTTTTCCTGCTCCTGGCCTTTGCGCTCTACCTTCGGCCCTCAGAGGGGCTAAGGCTGCGAAAAAGGGACGTTATCAAGCCAGTTCAGAAACGCGGCACTTCGAGTCACTGGCAGTTCGTCCTCAACCCTTTGGAAGAGGGCGTGCCTTCCAAGACTCAAGAGTTCGACGAGACCCTGCAGCTGGACTTGAAGTACCATCGCGGGTTGGGCGAAGCCATCCATCGATGTCTGGGACTGGACAAATTGTCAAGCAATCAGAAGATTTTTCAGCTCGAGAGCAAAGACATCAACGATTTCATGATGTTGGCGCGGGTGCAGTTGAACCTCCAGCCTTTGGGGCACCTGCATTTGTACCGGCTCCGCCATGGGGGTGCCAGCTACGACTACAACAACCATTTTCGGGACCTCGCTTCGGTCCAGCAGCGAGGTCGCTGGAAAAGCCACAACGGTGTTCGTCGCTACGAGAAGGGTGGACGTCTGGCTCAGTTGTTCGCAGCTCTCAGCCCCGAAACGCGGCGTCTCGCTACCAAGGCGGCCACAGGTCTTCAGGGCACTCTCCTCAGCCTGCGCTTTGGACCTACAATCTGGACGAAAAGGTGAGCGGAGTGGAGTCATTGATGTTCTCGAACGTTCTTGAAGTGAACAAGTGAGCCTGCCACGGCCGCATGCATTTTGCATGCTCAAGCTTTTCCCGCCCTCCCCGCCCGGCTTGAGCTGGGTGTGGGAGTGGTGCATCGCATATACCGCTATGCACCTGGGGCATGTGTACTCGTACAGTCTGCTTCGTTCCTCTGCAGCTTTAGCTCCTGGGTCACTCGCAGCTTTGGACCTACAATCTGGACGAAAAGGTGAGCGGAGTGGAGTTATGGATCTGACATGGCATCCGCGCGTACGACGGAACGGTCCTGCATGAATCTTAGGATGCCCCTGCTTTCAAGCTCAAGGTCCACCTGCAGGGGATTGCTACACCTTGAACCCTGAACCCGAACCCCGAAGCCCCTAAACCCCTTAACCCACAAGCAGTTGAGCCCGGCAGCAACTTAGAAGGAGCCGGAACAAAGCAGCGCATGGAGGCCGTGAGGTGTAAGGTCGCCGGAACGGCTTCCCGGCTGCCTAAAACGTCAGCGTATGCCATAGTAATAGTGTAGATAACAGTATATTATAGTTTTGTGGAAAGAGCAGCGGTGAAACCTTCCAAGAATCCAGAGCCAGCGATGGCTCCAAGCGCAGAGAGCTCAACCGGAACTGACCGTGAGCAGGCTTAAGCAACGGCGTCGCCGTCGCCACCGCAATTGGGCTTAGGGTTAGGGTTTATCGCTTGTGGACCTGAGTGCGAAGGGTTGTTTGCATCCTACCTGACCCCTAAACCCTAAACTCTAACATGCTGTAGGACGGATGCATGGCATGCTGTGCTGGCGCAGGTCGTGGGGTTTCCGAGCAGCCGATGGGTTTTAGAGTTGAGGGTACAGTGGGAAGTAGATCAGTCCTCCAGACCCTGACGCTCATCGACCTTGGCATCTGAGATGAAAATGTTGAACCCTAAACCCGAACCCCGGGTATGAAACCATACATTCCATAAGCCAGTCTGCCTTACGGAGCCAAAGGCTAACATCAACAGAGTATGCTCTGTTTACTTCCGTGGCACTGAAAGTTGCAAGCTTCTGTGCGCTTGATTGCGGGAATGATCTCTGTGCTTTTCTTCAAGGGTCTGTTGGTCTAGCGAGTTGAGGCCAGTTCCATAAAGAGCGGAATAGCCGGCAATTGGCTGCCCGGCTTGCAACCCTAAAAGCATACTTTGGGACTTGCACACAGGAGCACCTCTAAACTCCAGCACTTTCCAACCCTTAAGTCAGTCCCTGAGCCCGAAACCCTAAAGCACGAAGCCCTATAACCCCTCAGACCTAAAACCTACTAGGCCCTACTCAACCCCTAGACCCTAAAACCCAAAAACAAAATAAGAAGTGAGCGCACGACGAGGTCACCTAAACCCTAACCCCTAAACAGGCCCTAAACCCTAAACCCACCCTAGACCCGAAGCCCTAAACCCTAAACCCTAAAAAAAAAACCGAAGCCCTAAACCCTGCAAAAAAAACCCGAAGCCCGAAGCCCTAAACCCTAAACCCTACAAAAAAAAAACCAGGTCATGACAATGCTCCTCCGCCATCGGGAGCTGGCGGAGATGCGCCAGGATGGCTTTCTTCCCTGGGAGGCCCGGATTGAGGGCCTTGCTTCTTTTGGGGGCTTATAGGAGCTTCAGTGTAGGGTTTAGGCTTGAGGGTTTCGTCTCGATTTTTAGGGGGTGGTAGGGGTTTAAGGATTGTGTGTTTCGGTTTTAGCTTCAGGTTTTAGGGTGTTCAGGGTCTAAAGGTTCTCTTGGATTGCAAAGCTTGTGGTTGGCTTTAGAGGTCGGAGTTTAGGGTCATCGTTTTGGGGATTTGCTCCGTCTGCTGGGGGTTTGGGATCTACGGCAAGGGTCTTGGGGTCTTGGGTTGAGAGTTGAGGAGGGTTTAGTGTTTAGGGTTCCGGTGCAGCATGAGGGGTTTAGAGCTTGCAAAAGACTAGACCTTTTCGATTTCACTTCCTAGCGATCGTGACAGCTAGCAGAGCCATGAGCCTCACTGAGTGTTGATAGTAGCCGCGTGCCCCAGTTCCGTCGCAAAAGCTTCGGGTTTGGGATGTTGCTTGCTACTGTTCGCTCTCCACGGCTACCCGCGGAAATAGCGTTGAATGTGTTTCAGAGTTTCAAGTTTGCATGGGCTTCTGGAGGCCAAGGGCATACCAACCTTTTTGGGAGTTCCTAGCCCTAGCAGCTTTAGCAAAGAGGTCACACGAGTTCGTTGGCAGCACTCTTCCCGAGAATTCATCCAAAGCCCCACACTCCAAAAACTTGTTTCGTTCGGACGTAAGGGGCATGGGGGGTCCCTTTTTTGCAGCTGTGGCACAGGGTTTGGGGTTTAGGGTGTTGCCTCCCATCGGGTTAATGGCCAAGACTCTTCCGGATGGTGTTTGTCTTGGTTCCCGGGTTCAGGGGTCTGCTTTATCCCATGATAAGATAGGGGCTTAATTCCAATACTATTTTGGGGTTCCCTTTTTTTTTCGAATACAGAAAACCACGAATCCCTATTCTGCCTATATTCGGTTTAGAGCCTAGAGCGACTGGGCTTCACATTCGTCATGCCATACCCATCCGATCCCATCTTCAAGCAGGTGATGCTGAAATGCGAGGAGATTAGTGGACGCTTCTCTAGCCAGGACACTGTTGACGTTCGACGGGGCATAAGTGTTTAGGCTTTTGAGCTTCAGTTGTTGATGTTCAGGCTTGCGCACAGGCTTGAAGCTTTTGGACTAGGGTGTGGCGTACACACTTCGTACGTATGCAAGCCCGAACCCCATGGACCCCGGTCTAGATGTTGAGCTTTGGAGTTTGGCTATGAATTTCGGGCAACAGCTTCAGGGTTTGATGCGTGGTCAAGACTTTACACATGAACACTCGAGGGGTTTGGGGCTTTGGGTTGATATAGGGACCTTAATAATTAGAATACGGTTTGGGGGTATATTATACATTGATTACGAAAAGGAACCCCCCAAACCCAATTCTAATTATTAAGCCCCCTACGTTAGGGCTTTTCATCCGCTATGTTCGTCTTGCAGGGAGTCTGCTTCCTTTGAGGCTTTCGCGCCTTCACGGTCTACCTCAGGGTTTTTGAAGAACGGTAGACTAGAGTCTGTGATACGGATTCAGATGAATGTGTATGCATGTATGTATGTATGTATGTACGTATGTACGTATGTACGTATGTACGTATGTATGTATGTACGTATGCATGTATGTACGTATGCATGTATGTATGTGCGTATGTAGGTATGTATGTATGTATGTATGTATGTATGTATGTATGTACCTGTTGCTTCCTTTGATACGTTAATTCTGGGTTGTTTGCCTTTTGTAGCGGAAATGGGGTTGGGGGTGTATACAGGGGTTGTAACGGGCAGAACGTGCGGAAACCAGCAAAACGTGCAAAAATCAGCTTGGCCTCTCATGGCTCAGACACATGCATGCTGGACTGTGTGAGATGCATCAAAAGACGTACTGATCTAAGGTCTTTGGCCCTTGGGGCCTGCTAGGGTTCCAAGCTGCATGCATATTGCATATACGATGTGTTAGCAAATATGAGATCACTCAGTGCAAGATACAATATAGCTTAAATTAAATTTGGATGGCCATTCCTGCGACCCTTTCGATGGTCATCGTTCCAAGGCCCCCCTGCGAACAGCATCATGAGCATTCCATGTGCTGCAAGCACCGTTGTCACAGACCTTGGCTGCTTGAGTGTTAACACAGCCTGTCAATTGAGCTGCATGTGTTATAATATGGCCAGGTGGCTTCCTCGATTCATTGTGGTGCTGATCCTGGCGCAACGGTGTGCCCACCCCCAGCATCACATATGGTGTGTGCCTTCTGATCAGCATGCATGTGCAGATGCGTGCATGCATGCATGTCGCAGCATTTGCACAAGCTGGTGGCAGGGATGTTAACATGCACAGGCAGCTAGATGGTGTGCGAAATCGTAGACTAGATCACACTACTACACTCTGCAGTTCATCATGCCGTGCACAGCCATGGTACCTGACACGTTGGAGGGCGCACCTCCTGCAGATGTCCATGGTCAATCATCGACCGACCTCGCCAGAGCATGGGAACAACAAGCCTCTGTTCGTCGTCGTGCTAGTGTGTATGTGATGGCCCACTGACTGGAGTTATGTGTTGTGTGCATGTGCACATGGGATATGCAAGCATAGAGATGCACATGCATGCTAAGGTACGTAGATCACCTTCCAATGCAATTGACCGGCTTGCTGTGGAGCTCAATGAAGACCTGCTTACCGACATGATCTTACACTTGGGAACACGAGTGTCGGTGGACACTCTCGAGGTCCATGTGAAGGCGCTCTATGACTTAATGCGGGTTGGTATCTCAAGTCTCCTGCCTACAATAAGCATCGAGGGAGGGAGGGAAGGGGGGAGGGAGAGAGAGAGTGAGAGTGTTCAGAGATCGAGTGAGACAGAGTGTTGGAAAGATATACATGAGTGAGGGAGAGAGACAGAGATGGAGAGATCGAGAGTGAGGGGAGGGGAGAGAGAGAGAGAGAGAGAGTCAGAGTCAGAGTCAGAGTCATGTGATGGCATGAGATCGAAAGCGCAAGTGGGAATATGCATATGTGTGATACATGATACGATCTGCATGCACTTAGGTGCGCAAGTTTCTACCAATGCTTGGTCTTTGAAGAGGCTGAACAGCACCTTCAATAGAATCTGTGGCCGGCCTCACAGGCCACGGTCCGAGGCTATTCGAAGATTGATGGTGATTGCAGGTGTTCCAATTCCGGAAGCATCGGCTGGGGAGGATGATGAGGAAAGTTCCTGGGAAGAAGGGGAGGAAGAGGAAGATTTCGAGGATGATGTTGAGCTTCCAGATGATAACTTGAAGGGTGAAGCTTTGGAGATTAAGCCTCCGCCCGAGGCTGTGGAGACCCCTGAGAAAGCTGAACCTGCTGTTTCAATAGAGCCTGCTAAGCTTCGAAGGATGGATGCCAAGGAG